GCATCATCTTGCAAACCACACTATTCTTTTATCACACAGTTTCTCACTCTGTCAGTCATTTCAACCCTAACATACTAACTATTTTCTACTGCATTTATTCCACTCTCGTGCTTCTTCTGCCACACACAATTTTCACTACCAAACGTTAAAGTAGGGACTAATACAGCATTGTGAATTGCCATACGTGCCTTTTTTGACACATTCTGACTTTTCATGATTAGATATAGATTTCACGAGCCGTATATATAAGAAAAAAGTGGTAAAGTATGTTTTTTGATGAAATAAGGTCGGGGTTGACTTAAAATTCAACTTTTGATACTCGTATATATTGTATATTTGTGTATCAAAACTTTAATTAAGATGTACGTCTGAATTGCAACAACAACAACGGAAATCTCTGGCTACGGACATAATACATAAGTGTAAGGCCCGTTGACATTTTGAGAAGTGACATGTGCGAGTGGCAAGTGCAACTGACAAATGACAAGTGCTTAGTGCGTGTAAACAGGCAGTGATAAGTGTGAGTAAACTGCGCACTAAGCACTTGTCATTTGTCAGTTGCACTTGCCACTCGCACATGTCACTTCTCAAAATTTAAACCGGGCCTAAGACATCTCGAAAATTCCAAATCTAAAACATCGAGAACAATGTAGACTGCTCTGACTCAGTAAAGCAGACCCTAAGTCTGACGACCGTTTTCGGGCGAAAAAACCATTCAAAAATGCCAAATCCAATATACTGGTAATGGCAAGCAGCAAGCTTAATGCGCAGGGCCTGATTTACCCTCAGGCTAATTAGGCTGGAGCCTAGGACGCAAGGTTCTAAGGGGCGCTGAGCTTACCTTTACAGTCACCAGTTATGTACAGAATAAAATTTGGGATTATATTTTTAATAAATGATAGAATAAGTGCCGCAAGTATTTTACTTGTTGCTCTTTCTTTATTTTTGATACAAAAAAATGGGTTGGAAAAATAAGAGTTCGATTTTTTTGGTACTTACTGTACCTACCTTCTGTCTTTCGTTGATTTACTGGACGTGATTCAAAGATTTTAAACTTGTGGCTGTGGAAGGAAAAGGGGAGATCACCCGCCGGGCAAGGTGTTCTGCCCGGGGAGCGGCCAACGCTCCCTGTGATAGTTCGGAGCTGTTCTATATATTATACTGTTTATGATTCGGAACTTTGATAGTACGATTTAGGCTTCGGTGTGTTTCGCTTGTGGCGCGACGACAGCGCCGCCACAAACTGCTCAAGCTCTCACTCATGAGCGATGGCCGACACTCACAATCAGGAAAATTTTATTTAACACTTTTACTGTCCGGTTATACTAAGACAATAGCAACGACATTATTAATGTGGAAAGCTAGTAAAATAGAAAATCAGATACAGATAGAACAAGCTAGAGGGGGGAGCATATTCATAGTTAACCTAGACCTGTCGGAACTTTAAATCAGACACTGCCAATGCGTATAATTTGGTTATGCACTCTTTTCTTACCTGCATGGCGTAGTAAATATTGACATTTTAAATGTTTTCAGCATTGTGTTTTAAAAGGGCTGACGATGCATTACAGGACCAATGACGAGAGAAAATAGTTATTACTGTGGGTCTAGATGTAAATTTTAATATGATTAGATGAAGTACATTGTAGCCAGAGATGTTAAAATTAATTGGCAATTCGCGTAAAAAGTTAGCTAATCCCTTTCCCCTGGTGTGGAATTGTTCATGGACGGCGGTATTCACTTAAGACGGTTCACGTCGAAAAAGTGGCTCCGGGCTGTCGCCCTACTGATCCGTATACTCGTGATCGTATACGGATCGTGAATACATAATTTCTAAAAAACTTAAAAAACGCCGTCTTAAGGTCTAAAATGGCGTAGCGCCCGCGACGATTAAAACCGCTTAGAAATTGTCAGAATCTTAAAATATTTTTTTAAAATTATTGATTTAAGTAATCAAAATAATGAGCAAGTAAATTATGAATATTTATGTTAAGAATATATTTGAGTGTTTCTCAAGGATATAGATTAAGTAATTTCGTCGATTTCAACTATCGTGGTTTTTAGAGGTATTTTCGCAAATAATTATAATCGAGTCAAAATTATACAATCGTGTTTTTGAACAAGCAAATTCAAGATAAAGACATGAATTTACCTATATCAAAATTCCACTTTCGTTAGTGGTGTCATAGTCTTATACTATTCGATGAAAGGAGGTGCTTTTTACGCGTTGTCGCCTTAACATCAAGTGAACCGTATGCTCGCTTGCCCCCTCTCCTATATAAAGAAAATAATCCTTAAGGTAACTCTGGATTTCAAAGATTTCTGTGTATACTACCTACTAGACTAGAGATTACGTACAAAAACTGTCACAGCCGTGGTAGCCGAGGTAGCGGGCACGGTCAGCTAGCAGTTGTCTTTCCGAAGACAATTACTGTTTTTAAGCAAAAGCGAAATAAAGTTACATACTTATCCGAAATAAAATTCAAATTACGTTGACAAAAAAATAATAGCATTTTCTTAGTCACATTAAGCAAAACCAGTATTAGGTTGTCGAAATGAACGTTCGCGGTTTACAAAACAAAGAACTAGTCTTTCATCCGCTCGTAGTCGACTGAAAGAGTTATGGAGAATTCACCGTAACTTAGCGCGCAATGTGTTGATACCGTAGTACCTCAGTAGTAATCACAGTATACATAGAAGTCTGTGCTGAATTCTATTTTCTGATCGTATTTTACAAATAAACAAAAAAAATAGGAAAGAAAGAAAAAGAAACATAAGTATGAATATTTTATTACAGGAATTTGTAACCGGTCTATCAATATTATCTAGAGGAACATTGGAGGAAAAACTGCGCTGGACGTTCTCCCTGTACGATATAAATGGAGATGGATTCATAACCAAAGAAGAGATGACTGAGATAGTAACGGCAATTTACGATCTTATGGGAAAAATTGTAGAACCAATGATTGATGATGAAGCAGTTCGGGAGAAGGTGGAGCGGCTATTTCAAGTAAGAACTAAAGAAAATATTATTTAAGTGTAATCTTCTTTAGACACATTGGGCATTTTTGGGATGGGGAAAACCACTGAACTCGCGAGACCGTCACACTCAGATGCATATTAAAATACTTCCTGAAAAAATATTTCTTAACAGATAAATAATGTTTACAAGTTTTCACTTCTGACGTCCTACGACTGACTTTTTTTTCGTTTATCTGTATTTAGCGAATGATGAGCACCATATGGTGGATTGTCGATTCGTTTCCTTGGACACATTTCACACTTATTTCTCTCGGACGGTTATTCTTTGGACGTGAATCAATTTTAGCCGTCTTCGAGGTTGACCAAGACGTTTGTGTTGCAGCAACTGTGTTGGAAGAGTAAGAAGAAATTGTTTTACTAATAATAATTACCTAGACAAAAATATTTTGCTAAAATAGAATATTAACTGAGTCATGCTCAGTAAACTATACCGAAGTTTATATTTATTTAATTTAGCTACCTGCGTACGTTATACGTCTGCTACCGTATACATCATCATCAGCATCATTACAGCCTTCAAAAGTCCACTGCTGAACATAGGCCTCCCCCAAGTAATGCCACAAAGCACGGTCCTGAGCCACCTGCATCCATCGACTTCCTGCATGTCTTACCAGGTCGTCACTCCATCTAGTGGGGGGTCGCCCTACACTACACCTACCGGTACGAGGCTGCCACTCTGAGAACCTTTCTTCCCCATCGGTTATCGGTTCTTCGAGCTAAATATGGCCGGCCCATTGCCGCTTCAGCTTACTAATTCGTTGGGCTATGTCGGTCACTCTGGTTCTACTGCGGTAATCACTTCTGAGTTTATCACGCAGAGAAACTCCGAGCATAGCCCTCTCCATAGCTCACTGAGCGACCTTGAGCGTCCTCATGCGGCCAGCAGTGAAGGACCACGACTCAGATCCGTAAGTCATCATTGGCAACACGCACTGGTTGTACAATCTAGTTTTCAGAGTTTGACGGGAAGATCTGTCGTAATTTCCCGAACGCTGCCCAGCCGAGTTGAATCCGTCGATTGACCTCTCGGTCGAAGTTGAACTTACCTAGTCGGACTATTTGTCCCAGGTAAACGTACTCATAAACGACTTCGAGCATAGTGCGCCCAATAACTACCGGCATAGGTGTGACATGGACATTAAACTTGATCTTTGTTTTGTCCATGTTCATCTTAAGACCTATCCGTTGGGGTCATTGGGCATAGTGCTTAGGTTCTCCAGCGATTCTGCCATAAGGACTATATCGTCGGCAAATCGAAGGTGAGTGATGTACTCGCCATTGCTGTTAAATACCGTATCCTTTCCAGTCCAGTAGCTTGAAATCGTCTTCCAATGCAGCGGTGAAGAGTTTCGGGGATATAACGTCACCCTGTCTTACATCTTTCTGTAGTTGGATAGGTTTTGAACTCAGGTTCTGTACTCGGATAGCCATCGTAGCCCTACTGTACAAACGCTTCAGCACTTCGATATAGGTACCGACATTCAACTTGGCATCGCTGAAGGGACTGTAGCACCGCCCAAATTTCAACGGAATCCAAGGGTTTCTCATAGTCCACATACGCCAGGCATAGTGGCAGATTGTACTCTTCGGTGTTCTGTACAATCTGCCGCAGGGTATGTATGTGGTCTATGGTACTGAAGCCTTTTCGGAAACCGACTTGTTCGGCCCCCATGAGAAACGACGCTACTGTGTTGTGGCTGGATAATTTTGATCTATTAAATATATATTTTATATAAATCTAATCTATCATCTTTTAAATTATATTGAATACTATATCTATCAAATCATTTTTATTTGCAGAAAATGGATTTAAACCGTGACGGTGTCTTAACTCTCGACGAATTCCTAGACTGCTGCATTCGAGATGAAGTTATTTCCCGGTCCATGGGCGTCTTCGACAGTAACTTCTGACGGGGTCCCGATGGCGAGAGACCCGTTTCTCGCCACGCTCCATAACAATGTTTTTATTAGATACAGAAAATTTAGCTAAGTGTCTTTTGTGTGCAAGGTTTGTAAATTTATCTTTAAAATCTAAACAATGCCATTTAAAATTACCAATAAACCTATAAAATAGGAAAAATAGAAATATTAATTGTGTTGTCAATTTATTTAAAAAAAACTGTGTTTTGTGCATAACACTTTGAAAAAATAGTACCTACTGTTTGATTGTCATCAGAAAGATACCCTCTATGCTTTTCAATTGCAGTTGCCAATCGCGTAACTACTTTTACTTAAGCATGTCTTCTTATACTAAAAAGTCTTCAATATATATATTTTACTTCTAAACGTTAATGTTTGAAAGGTGTATTTGTTATAATAAACGATCTCAATAAAACTAATTACGTAAGTGTAAAATAATACATGTTCTGTAGATTCTTGACTTTCAATGTTGTCTTTTACGAATAACCTATAACATTATTAACGTTTAGACACAGCCCTATAGTTTAAATGTTATAGCATAGGTCCAGGTAATCTATCGTATACCTATTGACTTAAATTGTGTGAAATTGATAAATTATGTCGCAAAAACATCTTTTGCTCTGTAAAATAAGAAATCTCGTTTATAATAACACTTATAAATGTATGTTTTAACGACATTAATGTTTGGAAGTTAAAACCGAAAATATTGTCAAAAAATTAATGGCAGTTCAGATTCTATGTCCTCCTAATGTTATTATACTTACTGATTTTTTGTTTGCCTTCGAAATCTTCATCTTGATTTTTGAATTGTTCCGGCCATTTTTAATAGAATACATAGAGTAACGTACTCGTTTAAGATACATATGTAAAAATCATTTAGTCATTTTTGTATAATATTTAGCTGAATAGACCAAGAGCCATATTTTGTACCTAAATCCTTTTATCCATGTTATTCATAAACTTAATATCATACCTTCATCTACGATGTTATTGGGAAATTGTTTATTGTCTCTTTGCAGTCAAAAATTTACCCGATTAGGTACTATTATATAATATACAACAGCCACATTCTAAGCCAAAATTAAACACTGCCATTATATGAAACATTGCATACTATTTTATTTTTTTTGTTGATTGAAATACCTTATGTTACCTCGCTTATTTTTGATATAGTTAATCCGCCAAAAAGTATGCGTAATAGGTATTTGATGTCCAAATAATTGTAATTTGAAAGATTGTACGAAAAACAACTTTTAGTTATTCTTGTATTTGTATACTAATATTCTAAAATACATAATATTAATGCACAATTCGTAATACATCATTTTTACTGCTAACAGAAATATAGGTTTTATAGGAAAATATCACATTGTAAATATTATACTGTGTGTGCTATGAATTATAGATTTAAATGTATATTTTCATAGTAAGTGTTAAATGGAACCAAATAAATAGATGACATAAAAGTTTATATCATAAATATCTTAGTACCTACCTAGATTTTGTCCCACAACAACAAAATAAATATACGAGTACTTATGTATGATTACGGTGTAATTGTATAGTGATTAATTAAGAACTACCTAGTTTCCTTTCGTTGTAAAATTTTATTGTCGGTCGAGCTTGTTTATGTGTCTTCCTGATAAAAATTAGTTTCATATTTCACCGGTTAATGTTAACCACCAAGCGCCGCCGACAAGGCCTCAGTTGTTTTAAATAAAGATAGGCTTAATATTAACTTAAAGGAGTATAGCCATATAATATAATATACATACATCAATGTCTTATGATTAAAATACATGATATTTTGTTATAAATCAAACTAGTTGCGTAGTTATATTACGTATATAGGTAGGTACGTATATTCCATTATTCCTTTGATAATTTATTTCATGCTATTCTACTAATTTCAGACTATTTCTTGTCTTAATTTTTAAACGTATAAATAAAATTAATATTTTATTAACGTCAACACAGGGAATTTTCAGTTATATTGACAATTTATCTAGGTACAAAAACAATGAAAAATAATAGTGTATTGTTATTTTAATTTACGAATTATTCTTTTCACCCCTCACATCTCAGACCAACAATGAAAGAAAGACGGACCGCTGCCTCCATCCCAAGCTTAGACCTTAGGTTGAATGGTCTAAGATCCCAAGTGACGCATAAACGAAGCTTATAAGAACACGCACTTACATACGCACACGCATCTAAAATTATTTCCAACTATCAAATTTGTTTTAGGTTCTCCTGATTACTGAATAATAAAAGAAAGATGTGGAGGAGGAGAGAGGATTGCGGGTACGTGTACGTGCATGCGTGAGAAGTTGAGCATGATTTCGGCAATGTACGTAGCGCTAGGAGCTCTTTTTTGTTGGTCTGAGGTACTGACTCATCTATTTACTTCTTTTTTATGATCGATTAACTACTCGAGAGTCCAAAACATAATCCCTACGTTTCGGATTTTGATTAGCGATCGGCGGTGACGACAATAAATCTATATCACCAATAGGATATGACCGTGTTATCTAACTCTTAACCAGCCCTTTAGACATGTGATTCTACTACTTTGAAGTAGTAGAATCAGATGACTAAAGTAAGGGTACACTTAGCATCCCCTATCTTTATTTTCCTTAAGATTATATACGGAAGACCGGTTTGTAGTTCAAACTTCACACCAGGCGAACCATTATAAATTCGTTTAGTTGGACGGTCGGATCGTAGTATAAGGCCAGCATCGTATAACTTCTTTACCAACTGCTGTTGCATAAATACATACCAATTCAATATTAGTGCCAAAAATGATCGCAAAATGTATTACTGAAGTTGTTTAAGTTTAGAGAAACGTTGAGATCTCGAATGATACCTTGGTACAAAGGAAATAATTTCAAACTTGCGTTATATAAAATTGTGTATTTAAACTCTAAACTTTTGTTTAATTTCTATTTAAATAAAATAGAATAAGGGGACAAACGAGCACACAGTCCACCTGATAGTAAGTGGATGCTGTGGCCCATAGACATCTACATTTGTCCTCGATTAAGAATACAAGATGCATATGCGTTGTCACCCCTGAGGACTGAAATGGAATGCCTCGTTTCTAGTAAAAAGGGTCTCCGGTACTCTACACTCACCATACGAAACACAGCAATATCAAGCTGGTATTCTGTGAGAGCGTGATTCTTTCCCGGTCGAGCCGACCCATTGTGCTACAACCTTAAAAAACCGTAAAATATTATAGCTGCAGCATGACTCTACCACGTTTAAAATGTTATGAAACTAAAAATATACTTAGATATATAACCTAACAGAATCGAGCACGTTTTAAAAAAGTGTTAGTTAAGGAATACACAATAATATTAAATTCTAAAGTATGAAATAATTAAAAAATCATGTAAAGTAGACATTACTCCGAAATACTTCGAACAAGTTATTTAATGCCTACTTACTACCATTCTCTTTGTATTAAGGAGTATAAATTGTAAATAATTATAAAAATCGGGCTGGCTTGTGGTCGTTTATTTAAATGAAGGAAATTTTCTGATATATTTTAAATAAGGACGTGTAAATTAAATTTCTTTTTACCGGCACTTATGATAGGCCTATTATAAATTAGCTTATATGATCGTCTGGAAATAGATCACTATGATCGATGTAGAATATAATCTAAATTACAGGAATATACTTGATGTTAGATTATTAGTTAAAAGTTATGCATATACGCCATTGTCCATTGCTGTTAATATTATACTATATAAATGATGTTTTAAAAGTTTTACATAGTTATCTTAATCGATCACTGCTTGTACTTATACAGATTATGTGATTTAGTTCTGGTCTTCTAAATCAGTGGTAAGAGGTAAATACAACGGCAGTAAAAAGCATATTATTGTATAAGAAGACATTTTTAAAGACGCATATGTGTGAAATGAAATTGTCAGGGCCATGAAAGCTGTGTTCGTTTATCACTTCTTTAAGAAAATACATTCGAATAGGTAGAATTACAGTGTATGCGCAGAGTAGCTCTTTCAAAGAATAAATATTATCCAAACTTAATCTTCACTTCATCCCACCCACAGAAGGTTAAACGTCGTTTGATAGAATTAAAACTGCAACTAAAACAACCATAGCCCCCCATGACAGTGATTATCAGTTTATCCACAGGTTTTCAATTTTTTTTTACCGGCCCATAATCTCACAAATGCGTTTCAAATATGAATAGGACTGACCTGATTCGATATTGTGACGTCATAGCTGTCGATTCATACCAGTTAGGTATGGTGAGCAAAACATACTTTTGAATTAATATGTATTTACTAATAAACACAAAAGAACCATGAAAGAAAAAGTTTTAATCGGAATCTAGCATGTATTTATATAATTAGTTATTTAATTTATTAATTTGCTTCTTGGTCAAATGTTGCAATGAAAATACTAAAACTCAAATAAATATAAAAGTGTCATATTAATTTTCTCTGCGATCCATACTTTTCAAGTGAGTGTTAAAAGATTGCGATCGTTCTAGGTCATAAAAGTTCCAATTCTTATTACTACACCATTCACTATTCTTTATTTGAGTCAGGTTTTTCAAACCGTTATAAGTATATTACACAATAAATTCATAAGAGTGACATATCAGTCGTTAATCAATACTTAGAATGTACTTATTATAAAACATTGTCGTTATGTTGTTTATTACTATTATATTCATGTTTACCTATTAGCTAAATTATAACATGCTGCGTCCTTTATCTGCATAGATGCATGGAAAATTATTCGATATCAACAATGCTTCAATGCGGGCAATGACGACTGACGACCTGGTAACACATGTAGGTATTTGACGAGTGCAGGTGGCTCAGGACCGTAGACAGAGAAACCTATAGACAAATTGACGCCTTCTTTCGTATTCGCACACGAAAAAGATAGATTTATGCATACCTCTTGCATAGAAATGAGACAGAGCGGTGTCATTGTTTGTCCCTTTCTCCGTGCCAGTTTTTTTGTTTAGCAAACTATACTTTGCTAAACAACTTTGACAGTTCGTAGCAATCTAAGGAGTTTACAAGTTGGTTTAAGTGAGAA